ACAGGCATAAGGTGGTATCTCAGAGTTGTTTTGATTTGCATTTCCCTGATGATTAGGAATGTTGAGCAATTCCTTAAATGTCTTTCAGCCATTTGAACGCGCCCAATCTCATCAAAGGCTTTTTCAACATCTAATGAGATGATCATGTTTTTGTTTTTTTTTTTTTCCAGATTGCTTATATGGTAAATTACATTGACAGATTTTTGTATGTTGAACTACTACTGCATCTCTGGGATGAAACCTACTTGATCATGGTAGACAATTTTTTTATGTGTTCTTAGATTTTTGTTTGCCAGTATTTTATTGAGTGTTTTTGCACTAATGTTTATGAGGAAGATTGGTCTGTAATTCTCTTTCCTTGTTGCATCTTTGGGTGGTTTGAGTATCAGGGTAACTGTAGCTTCATAAAGAGTTTGGCAATGCTCCTTCTGTTTCTATTGTGTGGAACAATTTGAGGAGTGTTGATGGTATTAGCTCTTCTTTGAAATTCGGGTAGAATTCTGTACTGAAACCATCTGGCCTTGGGCTTTATTTGGTTGGGAGACTTTTAATGACTGATTCTATTTCCTTAGGTGTTATGGATCTATTTAAATTGTTTATCTGGTCTTGATTTCATTTTGGTAGGTAGTACCTATCCAGAAAATTGTCCATTTCTTTAAGATTTTCCAATTTTGTGGAGTACAGGTTTTTGAAGTATGACCTAATGATTCTCTGGATTTCCTCTGTGTATGTTGTTATGTCTCCCTTTTCATTTCTGATTTTGTAATTTGGATGCTCTCTCTCTGCCTTTTGGTTAGTTTAGATAAGGGTTTGTCTATCTTGTTGATTTTCTCAAAGAACCAACTCTTTGTTTCATTGGTCCTTTGTATTGTTCTCTTTGTTTCTAATTTGTTGATTTCAGCCCTCGGTTTGATTGTTTCCTGTCATCTACTCCTCCTGGGTGAGTTTGCTTTTTTTTTTGTTCTGGAGATTTCAGGTGTGCTGTTAAGTTGCTAGTGTGGGATCTCTCCAAATTCTTTATGTAGGCGCTTAGTGCTATGAACTATCCTTTTAGCACTGCTTTCATTTTTTCCCATAATTTGAGGTATTAAATGCATTCATTTTCATTGAATTCTAGGAATTCTTTAATTTCTTTCATTATTTCTTCCTTGACATGGTGATTAAGTTGAGTGTTGTTCAACTTCCACGAGTTTATAGGTTTTCTGACTTTTGTGGTGCTGTTTAATTCTAACTTTAAGCCATGGTGATCTGACAAGATATAGGAAGTTATTTCAATTTTTTTTGTATGTGTTGAGATTTTCTTTGTGACCAAGCATGTGGTCAGTTTTAGAGAAGATTCCACGAGGTGCTGAGAAGAAAGTATATTATTTTCTGTTTGAGTGTAATGTGCTATAGATGACTGTTAAGTCCATTTGAGTCATAACATTGTTAGTTCCCTTATATCTCTGTTAAGTTTCTTTCTGGCAGACCTGTCCATTGGTGAGAGTGGGGTGTTGAAGTCTCCCACTACTACTGTGTGGAGTTTGATGTGTGATTTAAGCTTAAGTAATGTTTCTTTAGAAATGTGGGTACCATTGTATTTGGGGCATAAATGTTCATAACTGAGACTTCATCTTAATGCATTTTTCCTGTGATGAATATGAAATGTCCTTCTCCATCTCTTTTGATTGATTTTAGTTTGAAGTATATTTTGTTAGATATAGGATAGCTACACCAGAATATTTCTTTGGTCCATTTGATTGGAAAAATCTTTTCCTAACCCTTTGCTCTGAGATAATGTCTGTCTTTGAAGTTGAGGTGTATACAGCAGAAGGATGGATCCTGTTTTTGTATCCATTCTGTTAACCTATGTCATTTTATAGGTGAATTAAATCCATTGGTATTAAGAGATATTAATGACCAGTGACTGTTAATTCCTGTTAATTTTTGGTTTTGGTAGTAGTGGTGGTATTGTGTATGTGTTTCCTTTCTTTGGAATTTACTGGTGTGAGATTATCTATTGCCTGTGTTTTCATGGGTGCAGCTAACATCCTTGGATTAGAATTTTCCTTCTAGTACTTTCTTTAGGGCTGGATTTGTGGATAGGTATTGTTTAAATCTGTTTTTGTCATGGAATATCTTGTTTCCTCCATCTATTGCTGGGCATAGTAGTCTGGGCTGGTATCCATGGTCTCTTAGTGTTTGCAAAACTTCTGTTCAGGCCATTCTGGCTTCCAGAGTCTCTACTGAGAAGTCGAGTGTAATTCTGATAGGTCTGCCTCGATATGTTACTTGGCCTTTTTCCTTTGCAACTCTTAATATTATTTCTTTACTCTGCATGTTTAGTGTTTTGACTATGATTATGGTGAAGGGACTTTTTCTTGGTCCAGTCTATTTAATGTTCTGTAATCTTCTTGTATCTTCAAAGGCATGTTCTTCTTTAGGTTGGGAAAGTTTTCTTCTATGATTTTATTGAATATATTTTCTGTGCCTTTGAGCTGATACTTTTCTCCTTCTTCTATCCCTATTATTCTTAGGTTTGGTCTTTTCATAGGGTGCCAGTTTTTCTAGATGTTTTATGTTAATTTTTTGGATTTAACATTTTCTTTGACCTATAAATCTATTTCTTCTATCATTTCTTCAACATCTGAGAATCTCTCTTCCATCTCTTGCATTCTCTTGGTTATGCGTACATCTGTAGTTCCTGTTTGTTTACCCAGAATTTCCATTTCCAGAATTCCTTTGGTTTGTGTTATCTTTGTTGCCTCTAACTCAATTTTCAAGTCTTGAACTGTTTCCTTCACCTGTTTGATTGTTTTGTTTTTTTTCCCCTTGGCTTTCTTTAAAGGATTTATTGATTTCTTCCAACTTTTTGTTTGTCTTTTTCTTGATTGCTTCAAGAAAATTTTCATTTCCTATTTAAGGGCCTCTATCATCTCCATAAAGTTATTTTTAAGGTTGTTTTCATCTGCTTCATCTGAGTTGATGTTCAGATCTTGAAGTTGTAGAACCATTAGGTTCTGGTAGTACCATATTTCTCTTTATGTCGTTGAATTTATTCTTACACTGCCCTCTACCCATCTGGGTTTGGAGTAGTTACAGCTGCAGGTGTTGGTTCTTCCTCTAGTCGATCCAGGCGTGGTGCCTGTGCCTCCAGGCTACCCTGCCTCCAATTGGTGCAGCTAGTGTCTGTGCCTCTGGTGTGTGTTGGGATGAGTTCTATGTGTTTGGAGGGCAGAGTGGGACTGGAAGTTTACAGGGTCTGATGGATGGCAGAAGTCTCAGTTGCTGACAGGCTGCTGGGGCTAGGATTGGTGGGGGAGGGGCACAGGATGTGCCCCAGAGTCTAGGGCCTAGAGACTAGGGCTGTCCAGCCCACCTCTTCTCTAGTCATTGGAGGTGGAGCCTGTATCTCCAGGGACTTCTGATGCTATAAGGTATGGTGGGGGTCTATCTTACTAATTTTCTAACTTGACTTTTTAAAATTTTCAGTTTGAGAGTTCCTTAATACCCTATACAAAGTCTAGCATTATATATGTGCATTAAATTTTTTTCTTTAGAGTATAGCTTGCCTTTTCCTTATCTTAACCAGGTCTTTGAGCAAAAATGTGATTTTTATAAGGTTCAATTTATTTGTCTATTTTAATAAATTTTTATTTTAGTGACATGTCTAAAAGAACTCTTCACTGAGCCTTGAGATGCAAATCCTCTGGTCCCTTCTAGAAGTCTTGTAGTTTTATATGTTGCATTTATCTATGTGTGCTCTTTAGGGTAAATACTTGTATATGGTGTAAGATTTGCACTGAGTTCATCACTTTACCTGTGGATGGCCAAGTACGACAAAGCCATGCGTTAAAACAAACAAATAGCACTATTATCTCTAACTGGCTTCTGTAGCTTTGTTCAAGTTGGCAGACGGAGCCTGTGAATATATATTCTAGAGCTCTCCATTCTGTTTTATATGTGTGTGTATCTTTCCACCAACATTAGCATTGGTCACTACAGCTATAATAAATATTTCAATATCAAGTGGAATGATCTTTACCTTTTTGGAATTACTTTAGACGTTCTTTATTTCAATATTTTATTCATTTTTACATACCAACTACAGATCCTCCTCTCATCCCTATTCCCACTCCCCCAACCCCTACCTAATCCCCCCCCCAACCCAGCCTCCATTCTCTCCTCCAAAGTGTAAGTTCTCCCATGGGGGGGACAGCAAAATCTGGCACATTCAGTTGAGGCAGAACCAACCTCCCCCTGGCCATACCCCCTCCAAGGCATCAAGGGTGAGTAAGGTGTCTGCCCATAGGTAATGAGATCCAGAAAGCCAGCTCATACACCAGGCATAGATTCTGATCACACTGCCAGGGGCCCATCAAAAAGACCCAGCTACACAATTGTTTCCTGTATGCAGAAGGTCTAGTCTGGTCTAATGCAGGTTCCACAGCTGTTAATCTAAAGTTCATGAGTTCCTTTGAGCCTAGTTCAGTTGTCTCTGTAGATTTCCCCATCATGATCCTGACCCCCCTCCTTGCTAATATAATCCATTTTCCCTTTCTTTGACTGACTGGACTCCCAGAGCTCGGCCTGGTGCTTGACTGTAGATCTCTGCATCTACTTCCATCAGTAACTAGATGAAGGCTCTATGACGACAGTTAGGGTATTCACCAATATGATTGCAGGGGTAGGCTAGTTCAGGCATGCTCACCACTATTGCTACTAGTCTAATCTGGGGTCATCCTTGTGAAATCCTGGGGATTTCCTTAGCACCAGGTTTCTTCCTTATCCCATAATGTCTCCCTCTATCAAGATATCTCTTTCATTGCTCTCCCACACCATCCCTCCTCCAGCTTGACCATCCTGATCCCTTTTGTTCTCATCCCCCATTCCCTCCCCTCTATTGCCCACCACTCATCCTTAGTTTGCTCATGGAGATCTCCTCTGTTTCCTTCCCAAGGTGATCTGTATAACCCTCTTACAGTCCTCCTTGTTTCCTAGCTTCTTTGAAGCTTTGAGTTGTAGTCTGATTATCCTCTGCTTTATATCTAGTATCCACTTATGAGTGAGTACATACTATGTTTGTCTTTCTGAGTCTGGGTTACCTCACTCAGGATGATATTTTTCTAGTTCCCATCCACTTGCTTGAAAAGTTCATGATGTCGTTGTTTTTTACAGCTGAGTAATACTCCATTGTGTATATACTTTCAGCAACGTGGCAGGATACAAGATTAACTCAAAAAAAAATCAGTAGCCCTCCTATACACAAATGATAAATGGACTGAGAAAGAAATCAGAGAAATATCACCCTTTACAATAGTCACAAATAATATAAAATACCTTGGAGTAACTCTAACCAAACAAGTGAAAGACCTGTATGACAAGAACTTTAAGTCCTGAAGAGAGAAATTGAGTAAGATATCAGAAAGAGGAAAGATTTCCCATGCTTATGAATAGGTAGAGCAAACATAATAAAAATGGCAATCTTACTGAAAGCAATCCACAGATTCAAT